TCCTGGCGCTTTGCTTCACCTGGAAGATCCAAAGGCAGTCTCTCAGTGGAAAAACTTTCTTTTTGAGGGATGTTACAATTGTGCTGAAATACGAACAAAAGCCGTTTGATATTGTTAAGGGATCGGACGTGTTAATTGAGCCTATTTTAAACATTGGCGGAGAAGATTTGCTAGGATTGTTTGGGTATAGCTTCTTAATGACACTCCAAAAACTGTCCAAGTTGTTTGACGTTTCATTCAGCAAATCCTTATAATAAGCCTGCTTTGCTTTATTCAATAACGAGTTCACCTCATTACGCTTTTCCTATATGCAATTATATCAGATTCAAACTTTGTTTTCCTTGAAAATAGAACGACATTGGCCATTGGAGCGGTGTCAAATCAACGTCGGCATAGTATGTCGCTGCCAAAGTAAATGATGGATGAGCATAAATATATAAAATAAATCACATAGTCACATTAAAATAATTGATGCACTATACTATAGGTTCGGCGCATGAGAAGAGCGACGTTTGAACCCGCCACTTACTCAGGAATGTATAGCGAAGATTTTATTGTTGGGGTTGAAAATTACTTAGTTTATATACTACGAAAAAGCAGTTTTTAAAATGAAGTGTTATTTTTATTGTATACAAGCAAGCAGCACAAGCAGGTGTTTCTTTCGAAAGAATATATTAAGACAATAGGATTAATTTGGGCTTTACTACAAGGGAGGTACGAGGGAATACTCCCCAGAGGAAATTTTGAAGATTTATAGACCCCCCAAAAGCCCGGAAATACAACTAAAATTGGGCATTCTTATATAGCTTGCTTTCCCTTTTAACCGTTGCAAATTAGCTTAGATTACTTAGATCTAGAATTTATCTGAAATTACTCACGAACAAGTTCGACTTCGAGTAGGGATTGGGAAAATGACATTGTATATCACCCAATTTTGAAAAAAAAATAGCTGAAAAGAAATTCTCGAGTACAAAAGATAAAAAGCGTTTAATATAAACACAAAAAGCAACCCTTATTACAAACTCGTTATATTTATAACAGCATGAAATAATTTATAACAGCATGAAATAGTTCGGGTCATTAAGTAAAATTCCTTTGGGTCTGGGGCCCTCATCGAGTGGGCGGTTTAATTATGGGCTAATACTCTTCATTTCAAGTATTACTATAAGAACTTCTAATTATCACCACTCGAAGATATATAAAATTAATATATTCGCATCGCCGTGTAATATCCGCCTCTATATATACTATCCTAGCTTGACCTTTCAAGCTAATAATTTAAATAGTTTCGGTGAATATTTTGAACGAAACAATGCGCAAAATGTACAAATTATAATATATTCTTTTCCAAAATACACATAGTAATAACTGCATACAGCTATTTCAATTAAGGTTGTCCCCCGAGCAAAGCGGAAAAGTCGAATACGAGCGCGAAAGGTTGCTGGGAATCGCAAATAAATTAATGAATCTATTAGCGATTCCCAGCAGCCTTTCGCGCTCGTATTCGACTTTTCCGCTTTGCTCGGGGGACAACCTTAATTGAAATAGCTGTATAAGACATATAACAAAGTTATAAAAACGAGTTATAATACAGTAAATTTACATACCATTTATTCTCCATATTTAGCAATTTACATACCTTTTATTCTCCATATTTAGCGCTTTAGAATATTTATAGTTTAAGCGCTATATAAATTTTATAATATTATATTATTAATATATATGTATAAATAACACGTGTTTCAAGTTTCGAAAAACTATAAACAAGAATCGGAGTTGTTCGGAAATTACTGGAACATCGGAAATGCCGGTGAAAAATAACTCGAAGTGTATAACTCGAACTCGAATCCAACCGTCGATGTTTCGGGATTCCCGCTAAAAATATGCTGCAGGTGTTGAACGGACGTGGGCATTAAAATAGTAATTCAATATTACACCTGCAGTTTTCAAATTTATGTTTTATGTCACACGGTCATCAGTGGTGTCGAGTAACGAAGTAAATGTACTTCGTTACTGTACTTGAGTACTATTTTTGAGAAGTCAGCAGCATGTAACAAAGTAAACTTTTTCTGGAGTACTTTTACTTGGAACGAAGTCGTTTTAAGAAGTAACGTTTTACTTCGTTATTTTCATTTTCTTGCGAAGTATTTCGTTACTTTCTAACTTTTGTTTAATTTTACGTGATTTATTCCTGATTTATTTCAATTTTGGGATAGGTAATAGGATCTCCACATGCGTCTGGGATCTCTCGTTTGTGGCTTACTTATATAAGCATTAATTATTTAATGGATTTCTTGTATCTTCAACGAGGTCTGGAAAATAGACCATGCATGCCGTGAAATATTGTATTATAGGTACACGCATATAATGCGTGTGCTGTTTTGTGTCTTTTATATGTCAATCCATTGGAAAAGTGAAATCACTCCCCCCCTCCCCCCCTTACACGCTACAGACAATAAAACTTTACTTTACTTTCTACTTCAACTCTTAACTTATATTGTTAATTACTTTTACTTTTACTTTTACTCGAGTACAAATTCAAAGTAATTTAGGCATCACTAACGGTCATAAAGTTCAAATTAGATAGATATTACATTAATAAATTTCTCCCTGAAGGCCTGGCTTTTCAGAAATTATTTACAAATTTTTAAATTTAAGAATGACTATTAGTATCATAAAGAGCACTAACAAATTGAGGTTAGTATAAGATGAAACAAGTTAGTTGAAACAAATATCAATCAGGTTAATAGTAAGGTGTTAACTGTTTCATTAGCAAGCAAGAGTTTCCCTAGTGCTGACGTCTTAAATGTTTTTAGTGAGGGGCTGTCTTTTATATTTTTGTGGCCAAATGTTCCATATATTGACGGCTCTACATGTATACCCGAACGATCGTTGGCCAGTTGCAGTTTTAAATAATGCATGGTATCTGAAGGGAGTCACATTTACAAGTCTTGCGGTTATGAAGTGATATGATAACCTTTTTTCAACTCAACCTATAGACCCATTGCACTGACGTCACAAATCCTTAGAGTGTCCTCCAGATGCTCCCAAACAATATCTGTTCGGGACAACAACCACATACAGAGCCGCAAAAATTAACCATTTTAATACAAAATTATTATAAAGTTTTACAAAATTTGCTTTGTTTACAAAAGTTATATTATGCATATAGATTGCTAATTTGTCCTCCAGATGCATCGTCACCGGCGCTGTGACGTCATTTGCAATGGGTCTATTACCTGTACTAAATTATCTTTGGGTTCTCTTTTTACATGCTTTTACTTTTCTCTTTTGGCTTGCTAATACTATGATGGAATCTTCCAACTTGTTATTTAAAATTCCCATTTCAGATAAAGTGTTGACAAAAAATGTTATAGCAACCTACAAAGTAACATCACAAGCTGAATGTTTGCTGCATTGCTACAAAACTGAAGGATGTCAGTCGTACAACTATGAATACACTCCCATATACAACACGGAGGGGAAACTTGGTCTCTGTGAGCTCAACAACAAGAGAATGACTTCTTGTCCTTTGAGGAAAGTTAGGAAAGAAGGTCATGGTTATTTTGAAGAAATGAATGTCCCGGAGAAAGAGGTATAATTGTAAATACAGGACCGCAGCCGCAGATTTCGATTCCTGCCCAGGGGCCGATAGTTTTCGAATTGGCCAAATGTGGCAAAAATCTGAATTTTTCGACAGGTCCGGGGCCGCGGCAAAAAATAAAAAAATTTACAATTTTTCTAGAAGGTGGGCAGACAACATTGTTTTGAAAACTTCTTTCCTAGCATACATGTTCCCCAAAACACACGATGAAGCTTTCAGTTCCGCAATAAAGTTCAAGCTTGGGAAACAAACTATACTGAATTTTGAATTCGTGACTATTATTTAGCTCTATGGATCAGAGAAAAATCCTGGCTTGTCTTGCTTGGATATTAACAGTTGTCATGACAACGATGGCGAATATTGGGTGTCTTCTGAACAAACATCTTGGAATGTTACAAAAGTGTTCTGTTACATGAACTCAGTAAAAGGTAAACGTTGTAAAAAAACAATCACGGAAATAATATACCAATCATACATTGATAGCGAGGGAAATATAAAAGAAGTGGTAACAGACAAAACAAGTATGAGCATAGTTACGACGAAAATAAATTCACATCAACAAAGAAGAATGTTAATTTTAAATAACAATTGTGTTTTATTATGTTTGTGTTTTATTTTATGACAATTAAGGTGTCAATATAATTCAATTTGAAACTAGCAGCCCACGTTATCGCAAATAGATAATGAGGCCACGCTTTTTTTTGTTGGATAACAGATTTTGCTCGCCAATATTAAAGGGCTGGAGGGCAAAAATTAAAAATTTAAAAAATTGTCTGATATCTAATACCACACGCACAGTGACATGTACATCCAAAGTCAAAGAGTACAGCGAAGAACAGCGAAGTAAGTGTTGAAGGTTTAGCCTGCATATCAGCTTGACTTTATTGACTTTATTTTAACTCAAAGACATTTTACATTTTTGGGTGTCTTGCAGGGAAAATAAATACTAATACTTTCTAAAATATGGTTGAATTAAAAAAAACCAACACATCAAATTAAACCGATGAGCGGCACTTATATTTTTTTCCTGCTTTTTAATGAATACATGCAATGCCAGGATATCTAGTGTAATCCAACAAAAAAAGCGTGGCTTGAATAAAAGGAAATAAAATTGTTTTCAATTCTTCCAGACACCAATTTAATCAACCTGGCCCAAGATAAGTCTGCAAGTCAATCCGCAACGTCAAATGATGCTCCAGCAGGAAGAGCTGTTGATGGTAACAAAAATACCGATTTTCATAAATATTCATGTACGCACACACCGGGGCCGGGGACGAACTCCCCATGGTGGCGAGTGGATTTACAGAATGTGGTAGGTATAATTGAAAGCTGATTTTCGTGGATAATCCAAGTGAGCAAATTTACTATTTAGAACATGAGCGGTCGTGTTGTATCGGATATAAATGTCCTGATGAGAACATTCTCCGGTCTTCAACAATTTAAAATAAACACATCTGCTCAGGCGTTCACACTGACCTAAAACTGACGACCTATATGTGCTATGGTGTAATAGACAAGGAATACCAATCGTGAACCGCAAACGCAAAACGTAAAAGGCTGAAAGCGTGGCGTGATCGATACACTGAGTGGGAAGGATACGCAAAATTATCCTAAGTTATCCTGAGGGGATGTTTTCGTAATGTCCAGTGAAACACAAGTATATTACTCACAAATCCAAACGTTATCCATAAATGCACATAGTCTCTTTTACATTCCGTAAGTCCGTAACGTATAAAGTTCGAAAAACTCAGCGATCCAGATATCGCATTTCCAGAGACGTTGCACGAAAAGAAACAACACAAAGTCAACTACTCAACTACTCAACTTCCAAGAAAGTGCAGAGTAGGATAAATACAAAATCCACAGAAACACGCGGTAAAATTCGTTGACAAATTGTTTGAGACTGAAATAGTCACTCATTGAACGGCCGCCATCTTGAAAACTGATCTGTAAAGTAAACTGGAATGATTGGAAACTGAGCCTGCGATGCGCAAACGCGAACTCGATTTCTGGACGACGAAGAAAACACAGAAAACCCCCCAGAAAATTAGGGATTTATGACACTTGACCTTTCAGGTCAGTGTAATGAATGATATTATGATTCTGTATCAGATATACATGCAGGGTGTCTAAAAAAGGTGAACTTTTAGAAATTCACCTTAAGCCGGTTTTCCACTTCAAGCGTACCGTTCCGAAACGTAACAAAAACGGTTTTAAATTTCAAAATTTCGTGAATGTTGATTGGTTAGTACTTCCGTAGTACGTCAAAAAGTCGACTTGCGACGAACGTTTTATTTTGATACGCGAATACACCCGGAAGTACGTGGATTTATAGACATCTTTTCAATCTGCGCATGCTCACCAGTACGTTTCGGTACGATATGGGCGAAGTGGAAAACTGGCGGTTTTACTGTTATAGTCCGAGTCCTATACAGAACCCATGGGTGTTTGAACATAATTGAATCGAATTTCATGCATGGGAAGTTATTTAAGTTTTTGGCATCGTTAAACATATGAATATGATTATGTGCTGATGTTACAAATCTTTAGTCATTATAAATGAAAGCTGTGTAGCTCTGCGGGGGGTGAAAAGGGGGATTTGAAAAAGAACCAATATGGCTGACATATTTTCATGTTAAAGTTTATATTTTGTATTCTTATCAAAACTTTATAAAAACTATAATAATAGTCCTTCGATCTAACTAAGACCGGTTTCTCAACAATTCCGTGACAGCTGATTAATTTAACGCAGCGCATAAAACAGTGAAAACACTTTGCTCTGTACTGTAGTCAGTTGAACCATTCTTAAGTCGTTTTAACTTTCAATTAGATTTTTCATGTACAATTTAATATGCAGTTTTAATATGCACGTACGATTACAACGTCAATGCATTCTAAACTCCCAAAGGTAATGAAGTTTGGGTGTTTACAACAAAAGGATGATTTCTAAAGGTTCACTTTTTGTGACCCTGTACAAACTCCTTCACGCTCATGATTTCTTTTGACAGTTTTGTTTTTTGTTCATGAATTATTAAAGGTCGTTTAGTGTTGTGTTGGGCTGACAATTTTATGATATATGAGACGAAACTTAGGGCTTGTTCATATGAGTCTATTCTCAATCATAAAGCCCCCATCAGGCCTAGAACTCTGCGTAGTTAAAAGTCAGTTTTTATTGTGAAAGTGCATGGAGACTTATATGCAATGAGCTAGTATAACCAAAGTTTAGCAAATGTGCGCGTGTGCATAGGCTAATACACACAAAGCTAACCACTCGACACAACTATACGTGACACCCACCCCCATTGAATGAGGCTCGGCGTCGCCCCTGCGTGTGTCAGCTACTATTTTCTATAGTTAGATATTTCGTAATGAACTATTTCATAATTCCATGCAGGTTATTCAGTTTTAACGTTTTAATTCTTCATTTGTTTTCAATGTTATAGTACTTCATTCGAAAGCTGATCATCACCAATCGCTCCGACTGCTGTATGGAACGACTTTCGAATTTTGAGATAAGGATTGGCTTATCTTTGGATAACAATGGCAACTCTAATCCCACTTGTGGTGAAAATTATTCACAGAGCACTGTAATCACCAAGAATATCACGTGTCCACAGCCCATGATCGGAAGATATGTAAATATTATAATTCCTCTACCACACCAAATTCTTACATTATGTGAAGTGGAAGTGTATCCCTAAAGGTCTAAAAAGTGTTCTGATGGAAACTAGTGCTAAACGTAATATTTATTCTATATATTAGTGCACTCTAAAAACACCATGGTTAAATTAACATTTCCTGCATGTTAATCTAAAATTAACACTGTTTGGGGTAATGGTTAATTTAATCAGTCTATATATGGTTGAATTGACCAGATTGTATTAGGAGGACTATTAACCAAGCATTCATGGTTAACTAAGAATTTTTGGTTAATAATCCACCAAACATAATCTGGTTGATTCAACCATATAGCCTGGTTAAATGAATCAGGTATTCTGGTTAAATTAGCCACGATAGCGCACAAATCTAATTTAGGACCACCTTCGAGAGAGATGCTATAGGGAGGGACTATTCAGTTTTGTTGGTCACCGTTCAACAGAACGAATATTGAAAGCTTTTATAGATGGAAATTTCAAGTATAAATTTTAAAAATTTATTTAGACCTAATCCTTCAACTGGGAAAGTTACTTATAATAAGGATGGACAAGAATAGTTGTATTAGTAGTATATGTATAACCGCAAGTGATGCGGGAAATTTTTTACTTTAAATACATGCAGGAAAAAAATGTGCGACACAACCACTTTGTTTTTTACTCTTAATATATTCACTAGTCACTATAAGATGAAGTTGCATGGCTTACTTCTGCCCAGAGTTTGTAGGCTTCCGCGCATGCACAAAGCCAAATAACATTAAAAAAAAAAAAAATTCTACTAAATTAGGCCAAACTTCTTTTTTTTTGGAAAAAAAGGCAAAAAAGAGCTAAATCTTAACAATACTTTCGATACGACCCTTTCCACTTCAATGCCATTCAATCACTTCATTTTTCTTTTTTTTCACAATAGTAGTACAGGCAGAAACAACCCTAATAATTTATTTAAATTTTAATGCAAATTGTATATCATTTTTATGCAAAATACTGAGCCGGTGAACGTCTGCGAAGACATGGCTATAATGAATTGTCATTGGTTAGTTTCCAGCTTTACGATTGCCTGAATTTCTTGAAATCAGATTGGGTGTCAATAGAACTGGGGCCTGTTTCAAACGTCACGCTTCTCATGCGCCGAACGCATTTGAGAAACAATACATAATCAGCTGAAATGCCTCATTATCTATTGTTTCTAATGCGTTCGGCACATGAGAAGCACTACGTTTAACATTCTTTCCTATTAAATTATACTAAAAAATACTGAAAATTCCTGTCAGTTGCCTGTTTCTGTCTATCTCGAAATGAATTAGGGAAAACAGGTTTTGGGGGTAATACATCCTTGGATTGGCAAAACTTGAAAATTAAAATTAAAAAATGGTATAACAGCAACATCGCAAGCCAGGGTCTTTTACCTGCGCGTTGGTATAACAGTTGCACAACTAAATGATGTTTTCAAAGGTATGCAAGGAAAATCCCAATTTCAAAGTGGAAGCATTACAACAAAAGTCGGGGTGTAGTTTACTGAAGAATATAAGCCTTGTTGGACATCGGAATAAGATGCTGCGAACAATTCGATTCACACACAGGCTGTCGCATCAGCATGAGCTCCATCTTTGAATTTACTATATGCATGAGTAAATTCTTAAACACGTCCGAATTTATCAATACAATAAATTCGCGACGCATGCATGTTGAGCCCTAACCCCTATAACCCTAACCTCTAACCCCTAATCTTAATCTAACCCTAATCTAATCTTTATTTCACACTAATCCAAAAATTGAAAATAGAAAACGTTTATCATACGAATGAGTACGACTCTGCCGTTCAGTTTATGAGGCTATTCGTTCGTTCTCGTGCTAGGGTGTAGGTTAACTAATAGGGAGTTTAAGGTCTTGACGACGAACTACGGCTAAGTTTGAAATAATTTTTGTTATATGTATGCAAATACTAAATGTTTGTCATAACAAATTTATCCCAAATATGTTTTATGTGCATGGCTTTGTGTTCGGCAAGTTTCATCATTTTTTATAAAAATACTATCCAACCTGCAACGTTGCGTAGTCATTTTCGGTGCTATGTTCTTGATTCTGCTGTAGCCACGTTAGTCCTTTTGGGCATAAATTATGCATTTTCTTAGCTAGAATAAAAATAATCAAGAAGTAAACTAAATTGGAATTTGAAATGCTGTTTTATGCTAATTTTTTACCTTTTCAGAAATGGTATTTCAACTTTGAAACGTCAATAGCTCTGTCAATATCGCGCGGAAAATTAAATGTTATAAATCTAAGTTAATTCTTTGTGAATACACTGCTTTTTATTTTAGTGAAATAGCTTTTACAGGTTTTACGTTACATGAAATCAAACAAGGTATAGTTTTTTGGGGGACAGCCGGTATACTTAAAAGGGTGATAATTGGTCTGTAGTTAGATAAGCATTATTTGCCATCTGTACATATTTAAAAAGTTAGTTAGAAGCTCAGGGTCCACTATAGGCTATTTTATCAATATATAGGCTACGTTATTGGTATGAAACTGAACTATATATAGTAATAATCCAAACAAAACTTTTGCTGGTACGTTTTTGTGTCGCAGCTGATTTATTTACACTCGATAATTTCCAATAACACACCCTTCAAACAATGAATAATTGATTGACGACAATTTACATGCATGCAATGTCTAAGGAAACATGTACTATACTTTATTTTTTGCTCAATTTTTCTCGTCTTAACTAACTATACAAAATCATCATCGGGAGAACATGGGCTATGTGACAAGCCAAAGGAATATTGGTTACTTTTTGCAGGTAAATTTAAAAATTGTATGTTCCATATAAATATTGAACGCGCATTGTTACAACGTCAACGGTTTTGAAAATTATGCGACCAGTTTTTATGTCACACGGTCACGAAGTTCAAATTGTCTGCAACTCCGAGTTTTCTGGTTCATTATCGATGTATACGCTTTAATTTTTATAAAAACGTTTAGCAGGATTTTCAAGATATTTTAGTGTTAACTATTGTAAAATTTAAGCACAACGAAATCATTATATTATCGCTATAGTCTAGCGCAAGCGGGTTTGATACACAGACACAGTCAAATTCGAGATTAATTGTTCTTTTTCAAACTTTAAAAGTCATTCACGACACAAATTTTGGTTGTGATGGTTTTCTGTTTATTTTAGTTTATATATCTAGCTCATTTTGGTTCAATACTCTTCTTTAGGTATTAAATACGGTTTAAAAATGTTTTTTGTTCACGTTTGAACTATATTAGTTCGAAAAGTCATTTGTTTGTATAATTCAAGGCACGCAAAGAAGATAGAACACACAATTGACAGATCGGATGATAAAATACAATGTAACTTAAGTAGTTGTCGTGAATGACTTTGGTTGGTAGCGAGATGGATTAAATAGGGTATATATATAGACGAAGTATTCTATTGATATACTGTACGTTATTTGAAATCAAACGATAAGCACGGTCAAATTACAATAAAATGAAAGATGGAAAGAACTTGTCTTTGCTTTCTATGGAAAATCTGATATAAGTCGAAGATATTATTTATTTTGTGAAATTGCGCCTGTTTACCTATATATACTTGATCAAATTGCGTGGATTTGAACTCTAGTCCGGTCCTCGTAGTCGGATTTAAAATATTACTTCGAATTTCAGATATAGTGTTGAAAAAAAACGTTATAGCAACCTACAAAGTAACATCACAAGCTGAATGTGTCCTGCGTTGCCACAAAACTGAAGGATGTGAGTCGTACAACTATATGAATACACTCTCACGTACAACACCGAGGGGAAACTTGGTCTCTGTGAGCTCAACAACAAGACAATGACTTATTGTCCTTTGAGGAAAGTTAGGAAAGAAAGTCATGGTTATTTTGAAGAAATGAATGTCCCGGAGAAAGAGGTATAATTGTAAATACAGGGCCGCAGGTTCGAGTCCTGCCAGTGGGTCTATAATTGCATTTTTCGTACTAACTGCTCCTGCAAGCAAGGTTCAAAACATGTATAAAAATTGTACTCGAAATTTCCATTTACAAATCCCTTCAATTATCAGTTATATCGACTGAGATGCCCGAAATCCTGATATTTACCCATATATCGACAAAAAAGCCTCGATAGCTGAACATATATTAAGACAGTTTATTATATGGCAAGCATCACTTCCGGCGAAATGGCGGTCTGTGATTGGCCGAAAAGCACTTTCAGCGGTCCAGTATTTACCTGTGATCGACCGGCGGTCCATTACGTAAAAACAAACGCACGCATTTTAAGGTGGCTCCCTACAGTTATTCTTGTTTAAGCAATAATTCCGTAAAACAAGCTTATTCGTGCAGAACGCGAATTCTTTTCGACTTGGTGGCGTTATTGGTCACCTAAGGAATATTTCGAACTAGATTTCGACGATGTCAATGTTTCCATGGCAACACGACGACAGCATAAAGCCTTCCAATTTAACTCATAAATGTGCCGCTATCTCAAAAACAATGTCGGTGACCTATCTTTTTTATTTCATATATCAATAAGGAATGATGCTCTGCAACTGTGGTGAAAGTTTAAAAAAATTCTGTAGTGTGTGATTTTTTTAAAAGCGAAAAATTTATTGCGAAATTTCCACACTACAGATTTTTTTAAAATTTGAATTTTATAAAATTTCCCGCAAAATAAATTCGTGGTCAAAATTTGAAGATAGGTCACCGATGAAACTAATGAGTAAAATGCAAATAAAGTTAGAAAATAGCCTCGTGTAACTCGAGAAATTGCCCTATTGAAAAGCGTCGCTGACTAGTAAAAGATTGTACGCGGGCGCAGAACGAGTTTTCATTCAGCAAAATCGAGCCGCAATGTTGTTTTTACTGTTTTGTTTTTGTCAACTTTTCGATTTATTTGAGTGCTATGGACAGCCAAGGATTATTGTGAAGGATTGAATCGATGAAAACAAGGTTGAAGCTAATTGAATCCTGCCGTTTACTCAATCTATGAGCTGTAACAGCCTATTAACAGGTGGACGTGTTTTTTTGTTTCATGTTTGGTTTTGTACTTTTTACTAAAAATGAACAATTAGGCTATGAAACTGAAATATTTTTTTGTTTACATATAATCACTTTAATCTGGTAGAAACACGACTAAAAACGTGAACGTTTTCTTGAGAAGTAAACAACCTTTTAAACGTTTTCTATGCAATTTTGCAAATGTTTTACAGTTGAGTCAGTTGACAAAATTGTTTCGTAGCTATTTTTTGGTCTAGTGATATTCGTATCATATGTAGAATTGCTGTATAGACTCGCAAGTGATTTGGCACTCAAAACGAAGTATTATTCAACGCTTTTTTCCATTAGAAACCTTTCAGAAATAGCTTTATTTTTAAAAAAAGCATGGTCAATTTTTGTTTTGTTTTGATGATGCAGTTGCGTGGGATAGTTCCCGTACTTGTCCCGCGAACATCCCGCACGGAACTGTAGGGAGCCTCCTTAAAACAAAACAACAAAACTAATTGAAAATTTAAGAATTATAATTTGATTTGTTATTAATAAGATATCTGCGAATGGTTTTTAGTGGAAAAGAAGGAATACATTGGTATTTTTTGTTTTCTTTAACCAAATGTGTACTACGCTACTCATATGCATTTTAAATCATGTATTTCTTGTTTGTTTCAAGTATAAATGCCTATATATAAATGCCATATAATAAACTTTTTATTAACCTCGCTTGCTCGGTATGTACAGAGAAATATCGGACCACAGTGTTTTTGTACAAACCTCGGTCCGATATTTCTCTGTTCAGAACTCGCGTTCGGTTAATAAGTTATTTGAAGGAACCTATTGTTTCTTAACCATGATTTAAGATTAAGAAGATGATAAACCAGGAAATATTGTTTCCTAGCCATGTTTGTGGAAGGTGGGCAGAGAACATTGTTTCGAAAACTTCTTTCCTAGCATACATGTTCCCCAAAAGCAAGTGACACGATGAAACTTTCAGTTCTGCAATAACGTTCAAGCTTGGGAAACAAACTACGTTTCTGAACTTTGAATTAGTGATTATTATTTAGCTGTATGGATCAGAGAAGAATCCTGGCTTGTCTTGCTTGGATATTAACAGTTGTCATGACAACGATGGCGAATATTGGGTGTCTTCTAAACAAACATCTTGGAATGTTACAAAAGTGTTTTGTTACATGAACTCTGTGAAAGGTAAGGTTGTAAAAAAAAACAATCACGGGAGTAATATACTAATCATACATTGATAACGAGGGAAATATAAAAGAAGTGGTAACAGACAAAACAAGTCAGCATAGTTGCGAAGAAAATAAATTCTGATCAACAGGGAAGAATGTTAATTTTAAATAAACAGTGTGTTTTATTACATTTATGTTTTATTTTATGACTTTATGTCAATATTATTTAGTTCAATTTGAAACTAGCAGCCCACTTTATAGAGGATAGATAATGAACAAAAGGAAATAAAATTATTTTCATTTTTTCCAGACGCCAATTCAGTCAACCTGGCCCTAGATAAGTCTGCAAATCAATCCGCAACTTCAACGTCTTGGAATGCTTCAGCAGGAAGAGCTGTCGATGGTAACAAAAATCCCCATTTTTATGAAGGTTTGTCATGTACGCACACACAGTATCCGGTGACAGACTCCCCGCCATGGTGGCGAGTGGATTTACAGAATGTGGTAGGTATAATTGAAAACTGATTTTGGTGGATAATGCAAATGAGCATATGTACTATTCACAACATGAGCGGTCGTGTTGTATCGGATATACAAGGCGAGAGTTTGTTAGTGGCGTAACTCCTTTGGGGGCCGCCTTGACGTAGCCCCCCTCCCTCCCCCCTTTCTGTCGTCACTTTGAATAGGCAGGACCAGGGACCTTATTCCAGTTAAAGCCGGGGTCCCTCTTTAGCACAAAGTTACGCCACTGCCCATCTTCTTTTTCTAATATATGCACTCCATCAATATTTCACGCACCACGGTTCAGCGTATGTGCAATTGAAAGGCATTCAAATTTTAACAATATGCTTGATTTATTGTGATGCACTTTTTTTAGACACCCTGTACAAACTCCTTCACGCTCGTGATTTCTTTTGACAGTTTTGTGTTTTCTTCATAAATTATTAACGAGTTTCACAAATCTATACATACAATTCAAAACATCTTTGAAGTCAAGTAGGTACAATAGAACTGTCTTTTAATCTTGACTCGGGCCGACAATTTTAGGGTTATATGCGACAAAACTTAGGTATTAATTAAAATCTCGCTGGGGTTTTAGACGTCGTCCCCGTTCCGTTTACAACGGCAAATCACAGATTATCGCGTCTTGTGTACAACGGCTGCGACAACTGATATTCCATATTAGACTGCGAGCGTCCCTCAGGAGAAAGGAGGGACTGCCGACAACACATCAAGAAACGAAATACGCGTTGCCTACACAACGCAAAATTCCCATTGGTCGAAATCGATATGCCTGTCAATCAAATGCGATATGTAGTAATAATGCTATAAATAATTCCAGACTTGAATGTTGATTTTATAAATAAACATGACAGGCTAAATGAGCGGTTCCTATTGGATGGATTTAATTGGATATAACTATAATGTTAAGCAAAGGCGGAGCCAACTTAACAAAAGCGAAAAGTGGGCGTATTTCGTTTCTTAATGAGTTGTCGGCAGTCCCTCCTTTCTCCTGAGGGACTGCTCGCATTCTAATTTCATACTGGGTCCTAGAACTATTCTCTCAATTCTCAATCATAAAGCCCGGCCTTTGAAGCATGTCCCCCCCCCCATCAGGCCTAGAACTCTGAACTCTGTGTAATTAAAAACAGTCAAGTATAGTCGACAGACCTGACAGTTTTTATTGTGAAAGTGCATGGAGACTTATAAGCAATGAGTAACCAAAGTTTGCAGACCAAACTAATAACTCGGCAAAACTATACGTGACATTCACCCCCCTTGAATGAGTCCCAGCGTCGCCTCTGCGTATGTCAGCTACTATGCTCTATAGTTGGGATATTTCATAATGAACTATTTCATAATTTCAGGTTATTCAGTTGTAACGTTTTAATTCTTCATTTTTTTTAATGTTCTATATATAGTACTTCATTCGAAAGCTGATCATCACTGGTCGGAACGACTGCTGCCAGGACAGACTTAAGGATTTTGAGATAAGGATTGGCTTATCTCTGGATAACAATGGCAACTCTAATCCCACTTGTGGTGGAAATCATTCACTGACTAGCAACGTAGTCACCAAGAGTATCACGTGTCCACAGCCCATGATCGAAAGATATGTAAATATTATAATTCCTGAACAAAACAAAATTCTTACATTATGTGAAGTGGAAGTGTATCCCTAAAAAGTGTTCGTATTGAAACTAGTGTTGAACGTAATATTTATTCTATATATGAGTGCACTCTAAAAACACCATGGTTAAACATTTCCTGGTTAATCTAAAATCAACCCTGTTTGAGGTAACTTAATGTTCCTGGTTAAATTTTCTGGTTAATTTAACCACACTCTTGGTTAATTTGATCGTAGTCCTGGCTAATTTTAACCAGGATTCCTGGTTAATTTAACCAGTCTATATATGGTTGAATTAACCAGATTATGTTAGGTGGACTAATAAGAATTATTAAGAATTATTCTTATTAGAATTTCTGGTTAACCAAGAATTTCTGGTTAATAATCCACCCAACATAATCTAGTTGATTCAACCATTACTTTCTTGAAAATTCTTTCGTTCTAAACAAAGACGAAGGACTTTGCGAATGTCTATATGGTTAAGGTAGCCACGATAGCGATCAAATCTCATTTAGGACCACCTTCGAGAGAGATGCTATGGGGGGGGGGGGCGTGGCAGGGGGGACGTGTGCAAAATATGACGTCCATCCGATACGGCAAATTTGTCACAATTTTAATAAGCTAAACGTAAAAGGAAGAACAATTTTTAATGCTACTTAAAATACTCATTAATAATTCATGAAGAAAATTCAAAAGAAATAAATGTTTAATCAATGTTGTAAATCGGATAAAGATTTGTCCTGATTTACATAAACTTCAGCATTGATTTTCACTCGGCTTAGACAATGTTTATTCTTAAAACTACTTCGCCAACGAACTCATAACTATAAGATGGGTCGTTTTTTAAGCACGTTAAAATATTCGCATCCGATCTTTATCTCATATACAAACTCTCGCCTTCGGCTCGAGCTTGTATATCAGATAAAAATCGGCTGCTCATGTTTTAACTAGTACATATAAGCCAGCACATTTTAATCTATCAATCCGAACTAGTTTTCCGCTGTTCAAATCACTGTACCTACGCTGTCACAGACAGTTACATATATATACGAAAAGAGAAGCGTGTATTAAACCATACTCATCAATCGAAGCAAATAATGATCACAAGTCAAAGGAACTAATGCCACCGAGAAAGTCACCACCAAATAATTTCAGAACAATCACATGCATATAATCTTCCCATGATGCATGCGCACAAATAGATTTAGTATAGTTTTATTCCTTATCACGCACGAGTAGATCATTTTTAGATCAACAGTTAAATTTCTAAATAACTATATGAACATTATATTTAGATTTCAGACAATTTATTAGTGACTATAACTATTATATAATTATACGATTTGTAAACAAATACATGCATGTATAATTATATTATAACCTTTTTAAAATCAATTGTAATTCAGTTATCAACACTGTAACTTTAGTCAGTTGATTCAAATAAACGTTCTATTAAATATACGCAAAGCATTCAAATATTGAAAATATACAATTCACGCTTCAAGAAAGTACGCCACCTTGGCTGTAAAATTTCGACTTCTTCAAATTTCCAAATGTTTGTTTGGGTGGATAAAATGTAAGCTATTTACCTGTTTAGTTTGGGGTTTTTCTTTTTTATATAAAACAAATAGATAAGATTTTGCCGTTGTCTGTTCAAATCTTATCTAAATCTTAAAATGGCAAAATCTTATCTATTTGTTAATATTGTCATGTTATTGGCAGAAATTAACTTTACAAATAATCATAACGCCGTAAAGGGGCTCGATACAGTTTTCAAATAATTGGTCAGGTGTACAACAGTTTGACAGTTTTAAACTTTGTATTTTTGTGTTTTGTGGAGCAGATATTGGGGCTGTTCAAATACTTTAATATTTCTTCTTACAAATCATGCGCTAGTTTTCTTGCCGAATTAACATACCACACAATGGGAAAAGAAAAATTGCATAGTTCAAAGTCGTAAAATGTATTGTTTTTCATGTATTTTATATAATGTTATATTCTTTTGAATCCTGTAAAATCTCACTTTCAAATTAGTTCAAAGTCTTAAAATGTACTATTTTTTGTGTATTTTATGATGTTATAATCTTCTGAATTTTGTAAAATTTCACCCCAAAATGCACGAAATGGCGTTTCAGAGGCTCTGAATTTCAAAATTTCCCCCAGAAGAGTACGCCCCTGAACCCCCCCCCCTACAGTGTTGGCACCTTCGGCGCTCAACTTGTCCCCCTCACTTTGTAAACCCTGGCTACGCAACTGCGCGTATGTAATAAGAGCTTGGAAGCGCATTGGTGGTATTAGTAATCAGTGTGCGCTATAAGCATAGAAACGTATCAGGAACAAAGATTTTTTCTTTTTTTTCTCCTGTTCTTTCATATTTCCACCAATTGTTAATTGGTCTGAAGGTGTTGGCCCTGCGGGGGTGGTCTGCTCAAGATACCATGCACTAGCATGGATCTTAACCCGAGTCCAAGTAACAGTGGTGCTAGTAGTCGTCCCAGGCCATCCCTCGGTTACCCGGGCTAACACCTCACCATCCAAACGGGTATAAGTATGGTGAACGAAGGTGTTAAACCTATATTTAGATGCAGGTTCATTAGCATAGCATAACCAGTTGCCATGGCTAGCTTTGCCACCGGTCAGCACGTGGTCAGCACGGACATGCAAACACGCTATACAATACGCACAATGGCGCGAGATGACGTGAGCAATTAACCCATACTGTCATATTGGAAATATTTTCGTTCGTATTCCCCCGGGAAACAAATGATCATGCGCATGCGAGTTTGTTCAAACAGCATCACGTCTTGGTTTGGCATAAAAACTTGTAACGACAACTCGCAGGCAATGTAAAAGAGTTTACAGGCGATTTTGAAAACGTAGCATATTTTTTCCTATTTCCACCAATTTAATGCGCGCCGCTCTTCCCCAATTTCTAAATACAACGTTAACTGTCCAATTGTTACGTTAGTATATACAATCTGCCGGACTTTCATGTACAAATTTACTGCCCGACCAAAAAATTATTGGGGGAATGCAACCCCCAGCCCCCCTCGCACGCCTATGAGTTTGCATGAAATGTGATTGGTTCTGTGACGATTTGTAGTGCGAGTTCGGTCGTCAAAGGTTGTCCCATGTATGTATTATCACCTTGTCAGGTGTGATGAATAATTAAAACAAACGGGTTTCGTATGACACATAAAAACAGTTCAGTATATGCATGCAGTGTCTAAGGAAACATGTACTACTTTACTTTTTGCTCAATTTTCCTCGTCTTAACTAACTATACAAAATCATCATCGGGAGAACATGGGCTATGTAAGCTGAGGGAATTTCGGCTAATTTTTGCAGGTAAAACTATACAAATTGTATATTTCATATAAATTTTGAACCCCGCGCAGATCTATTTCAATAAAACAATATTACGTTTTTCACATGCAGTAGCGTGATATTGCATGTATGTTTAGTTCAGTCTTGTTTTCCACAAAACTACAAAAGGTTTTGTGAGTTGTGTGTATATTACATATACGTTTTATATTTGTCTGTGATATCATTATATCACTTTTTCCTAGCTATTGTCTGAGGAAACATGTCGGGGGAGGCCGAAAAAAAAAGGATTAATTTTCTTCCTATATAGTATATGTATATTGCCTTATTGGGCTATATAGTGATAAAGATTTTTCTTTTTTTTTTGTGATTCGTATATATTTCGTACATTAGTATTGTGCTTTACAAAGAGTTTCATGAAACCATGTATCATAATTAAATGTCAATAGAGTATTACCTCGATCGGCAGACATCTGATATGAAAATGTTCGACCGACGTTTAGGTTTTGCCTTATGGCAGAACCTTGTTAATTTCGATACGACATTAGTGACACTACAGTAGTATAGAGCGACATTGGTCATTGGAGCGGTGTCAACACTCTAAAAACTGGTGTGTAATTTTACCCTTTTCGAAAAACGGTGTGTATAATTACACTTATATCTCATTTGTGTCGGTTTTCTTTGATCGTCCGAGGTTTATAACTAGCTAATATACCTTGAATAAAAAATTACATCAAACTTTTCGAGAAAACGCGAGAATTTTTCATCAAAATTTTTTGAAAATGACAAAATATGTTAGAAAACCTCCACAAATGAGATATAAGTTAGTTATAAACCTCGAAAGTCGGTTTATAACTGATATATTGCTCTCGGACGCTGCGCGTCCTCGGGGGCAATATATCAGTTATAAACCTCCTTCTCGGTTTATAACTCTACATCTTTTGCAATATGGAAACCAAGGTGTGTAATTATACACACCTTGTATACACCATTACACACCTTAGGTGCATGTGTACGATTACACACCATTGGGTGTGTAAAATTACACACCTTTGTATCAGGCCGTAGGTGTCAGGTATCACCTTCAGGCCGTAGGTGTCAGGTGTGATGAATAATTAAAACAAACGGGTTTCGTATGACACATAAAAACAGTTCAGTATATGCATGCAATGTCTAAGGAAACATGTACTACGTTATTTTTTGCTCAATTTTCCTCGTGTTAACTAACTATACAAAATCATCATCGGGAGAACATGGGCTATGCAAGCCAAGGGAATTTCGGCTAATTTTTGCAGGTAAATCTATACAAATTGTATATTCCATATAAATTTTGAACTCGCAGTGTTATAGATCTATTTCAATAAAACAATATTAACGTTTTCCACACCAGTAGCGTGATATTGCATGTATATTTAGTTCCACAAAACTACAAAAGGTTTTGTGAGTTGTGCGTATATTACATATACGTTTTATATTTGTCTGTTATATCATTAGATTACTTTTTCCTAGCTATAGCCTAAGGAAACAAGTCAGGGGAGGTTAAAAAAAGGATTAATTTTCTTCCTATAGTATATGTATATTGGGCTATATAGTGATATAGTTTCTCTTTTTTTTGTGATTCGTGCCTATTATATATATTTTACAATAATATATATTTCGTACATTAGTGTTGTGCTTTACAATGAGTTTCATGAAACCATGTATCATAATTAAAATGTTAATAGCGTATTACCATCGGCAGACATCTGATATGAAAATTTCGACCGATGTTCAAGTTTTGCCTTACGGCAGAACCTTGTTACATTTCGATACGACACTATAATGACACTATAGTAGTATAGAGCGACATTGGCGATTGGAGCGGTGTCAAATCAACGTCGGCATAGTATGTCGCTCCCAAAGTAAATGATGGATGAGCATAAATATATAAAATAAATCACATAGTCACATTAAAATAATTGATGCACTATACTATAGGTTCGGCGCATGAGAAGAGCGACGTTTGAACGCGCCACTTACTCAGGAACGTATAGCGAAGATTTTATTGTTGGGAGTGAAAATTACTTAGTTTATATTACGAAAAAGCAGTTTTTAAAATGAAGTGTTATTTTTATTGTATACAAGCAAGCAGCACAAACAGGTGTTTCTTTCGAAAGAATATATTAAGACAATAGGATTAATTTGGGCTTTACTATACAAGGGAGGTTCGAGGGAATACTCCCCCCAGAGGAAATTTTGAAGATTTATAGACCCCCCAAAAGCCCGGAAATACAACTAAAATTGGGCATTCTTATATAGCTTGCTTTCCCTATTAACCGTTCCAAATTAGCTTAGATTACTTAGATCTAGAATTTATCTGAAATTACTCACGAACAAATTACGGGAGGTGCCCTTACTTTATATAGGCGCGCCATTCGCACGGCACCGGATGATTGAATTTGGGATATTTTTTGCCTTGTGCGTTCACAGGGGATGCATGAAAAGGGACGTTCTCAAGCACGGATGTAAGCAGTAAGCAGCCGTACAAATTTCGGGCAGTGTGAATAAAAAATGCGCAACCTGGTGAATTTGCGTACTGTTCTAAATTTGTCCAGTTCCGTTTATAAATAGTCGTAGATTATTTACTTTAGTGACATCGAGTTTGATTCGAGTTCGACTTCGAGTAGGGATTAGGAAAATGACATTGTATATCACCCAATTTTGAAAAAAAATAGCTGAAAAGAAATTCTCAAGTACAAAAGATAAAAAGCGTTTAATATAAACACAAAAAGCAACCCTTATTACAAACTCGTTATATTTATAACAGCATGAAATAGTTCGGGTCATTAAGTAAAATTCCTTTGGGCCTGGGCCCTCATCGAGTGGGCGGTTTAATTATGGGCTAATACTCTTCATTTCAAGTATTAC